GTATTTGTGTGTGCGTATGTATGTGTATGTACACTGCGTTAAAAAAATGGTCCAGTTCTATATCTCCCGTTCTAATGGGCCGATTGACGAAATTCAAGTTGCGTTATCTCTCGAAAGCTCTACTTAGGATATGCATTTGATTTATATACAGCATTGTTCCACTATAGGTATTTTGACACAGAATCGGACTTTTTCTGATATAACATACCATTTTTTTTTCCATATTTCCATTCTGCGACTCAAATTACGCCAAACTGCCAAGTGTTGTAATAATCGCACGAGTAGTTTTTGAAAAATTAGCTCTGAAATTTTAGCTCCTCAATGATAATTGAGTTCGGTATATTTATTTTTAAAACTTGTATTTTAAATAATTTTTAAAATTTTTTCAAAGAAATTTGACTTATGAACTATAAAATTTTCACAATCACCTTAAAGTAGACGTATTATTACAATCAAAAGTTTAAAGACAATTTCTAGCGCATTTGTAGAAAGAGGCACACCTGCAAAAAATTACAGTTTTTTATTCAAAATTTACGAAGATATACGTGAATATATATATATTCGAACGTTATGAAATTTGGTATATTTGTTGAAAACGATAAAACATCAGATGTGGCTTAGACACTTTGCTAAATTTATTTGAAAGCAAGAACGATGTGACTTTTTTCCTGCTCATGCACAATACAAAAATTTAGGAACGAGGTGCCTTTTTTTTTTTTTTATATATAACCCGCTCCGGCATAATGAAAGGGAAAGGAAAATTGGTTGCCACACATTAAGAAGTTCGCCAAGGGAATTATTCTTGACACAAACGGAAAAAATTGCAGAAGATAAATTTTTTAATTTCTCCGTAAATTTCGCAACAAATTTTACATGGAAAACAAAATTGGTTGCTATTTCAGGCAAAGTCCGATTTTGTTTCAAAATACATATGTTAGAACAATGCTATATGTAAATCCTAAATCGCGCTTTCGAGACATGAGAAACATAATTTGAGTTTTGTCAATCAGCCCAGTAGAACAGGAGATATATAGGTATAGGTATAGGTAACGGGGAGCACGGGCACTGTCCCTTTACCATAATGGTTAATCGGTATTGCACCGTGCCCACCACTGTCCAGATCCAATGTGTAGGAGCCACATTTGCGCCCAGCACCAAAAGCCGAGGCCCAATGCTCGGACCATCCGAGGGCAGTCAAACTGACCAAAAGCGCCCTCCACCCAACGCTCACCCAACCGTCCAGGCATTAGTACATATGATAGCAAATACTGAGATTCTCTGACGACTATAATACAATGTGCAACTGGTACATAATGAAATTGCAATTATAAATATACTGCATAATACAAGTCCAATAGTACAATATCAATGTAAAAAGTAAGATATAATTACAAATGCAAATATTTCGTGAACCATAAGTGCAAAAAATAGTAAGTTAAAGGACTATACTGCTTCAAATATTAGTACATATGATAACAATACTGAAATTCTCTGACAATTATAATACAATGATTAATTGGTACATAATGAGATTGTAATATAAATAGAGACTGTATAATACAATACAAGTCCAACAGTACAATATAATGCAAACACGAGTATGTAATTACAAATGTTAATATTTCATGAACCATCAGTGCAAAACAATACTAAGTTAAAGGACTATGCATATCAATGCAAAACTTAAAGTTAAAGAGTAGTAGTATACAATGTTAGATATAGATATACTATACAAAAGAAAGTCATATTCGTACAACAGAATGGTATTGCAATTTAAATACCAACAGTATTAAAACATAATTATAATAATAAACTCAAATAAAAATCCGAACATATGACCAATACAAAAGCAAAATGTTATTCTTAAAATATCTATGCAATGCATATTCAAATACAGTCAGTAGATATATACTGATATAATTATAATGCATAACAAGTTAAAGACATATCGAGAAAACAACCCATACAATCGATAAGATCTATACAATACAAATTCAAATTCTAAAATAATCCAGATATTAATAGAAAAGTAAATGCATATATCAATGGTACTTCTAACAAAGATAAATAATAGATAATATATATATTATATATATATATATATATATAAACATTCTTATTGAACACGCAGAAATAGTATATATATATATATATAACATTCTTATTGAACAAAATTCAACGAAGATTCAATGAGACAAATACCAATCCAAGCATGTGATAAGTTGACATATGGGAATAGTAGATTAAACACTAACATGTATGCGTACAATATGCTAAAATTGTAAATTATGTTACCAAGCAGAAGTCAGTACCATAGGAATGAAGTATTTCCATAATTTTGATCAGTTTTTTAACTAAGTATTTTTTGTTAATTAAAAAACTTACAAAATGCACGAGTGTTAGTATTTGGTATGGGAATGTGATAATCTTGTGTAATAGGACACTGAGTCACATAATGTTCAGGATTTCCAAGTTCACCCTCATACCACACATATCAGTATTTGAAATACCATGTCGATAATAGTAACTGGATAGGGCACATGCCCTGTAATATAACGTACCAAATGATGATTGGTAACCTGTCTATGTATATCAACATATGAAATATGAAAATAAGTACGACGACCTGTGTCGGAGTCATCCCAGTTTTGTTTGCCACGCAGAAATAGTCTTGAGTAAAATTTCCTTTTTAAAATACGAAATTGGCCATTTTACCATTAGGTTTTCAATTTCACCAATATGATCAATACTTTTTGGGCAGCTATTTTTTGCAAAAGAAGTCTGCTTGGATATTGCCAATGTTATCTGCATGACCTTTTGTCCAGGCCATCAGTATTTTTAGAATTTCCGGACATGTGCAATTCCTGCTGAATGGCAGAGATAATAGGCGAAGAATGCCTTGGATTTTTAATTGAAAAAAGAGATGAAAGGCTATCCGTTATTATTATACCTTCCATCTCGCCGGTTTTGTTTAAAATATTGAACAGCTTTAAGAATAGCCATCGCTTCTGCTTGAAAAACGCTGTTTTCAGCAGTAAGATGTCCCTAACCATTTAAATATTTGGTCTTCATTGTGATAAGCCACAAGGGCACAACCAGTTTGTTGCTCAATTTTCGAACCATCAGTGAATATCTGTAAGTGAGGTAGTTGTGGCAAATTGTCACATTTCAAAAAGACATTGAGTCCATATCCTTGTGAGCAGGATGTTTATCCAAATGCTGTGTTTGCTTTTCATAGTTGGTTGGAAGAAACTATGTCATCATGAAAATTTACAGATTGCTGCAAATGGCGAAGTGTTTGATAAGCTGCCTCCTGTGGAGTGCGTAGAGACAATGGAATAATACCTGCAAGCACAGTCAAGGCATTAGAAGAAGTTGTACAAAAAGCGCGGGTAATCTGTAATACAAGGGTCGTTGTAAGCTTTGCAATAGTCTGGCCTTACGACCCTGCATAGGGTCGGCCCAGACTGCAGCTGCATATATAACCATCTTCTCGATTACAGTTTGATATAATATTTTTTGTATGTACGGACTAATACCCCAATTGTGTCCAATACATACGGCGAAGATTAGTTGCAATGATAGTTGTTCTTCTTTTCAATTCCTGCAGATGCAAAATCCAATTTAATTTCTCATCAAATACTATACCGAGAAATTTGAGCTGCCTTTTAATACCAATTCTGGTACCATTTATTTATTGTAATTCTCGGTCGTCGATTTAAAGATTTTCCTTTCTTTGGGACAAGGAGAATGGTTGACTTTGAAGAGGAAATTGTAAGTTTGATATTATTAACATAATTCATAAAAAGATTACAAGTTTCTGTGGAGTTAATTTGCAGTTCATCTCTTGTTCGCCCTGTGACAACAAAAGCTGTGTCATCAGCATAAGCATATAAACGGGTATGTGCTGGCCAAGTGGAGGATAGAACATAATTAAATGTTACATTCCACAAAATCAGGGCCAGCACAGGAAACCATGGGGACAGCCACGATTTTGTATCTTGGTTATTACTTCCCGGTTAGTTAAATACATTAATTTTCGTTCAGATAGATAACTTCTAAATACCAAGAATATATTCTTAGGGCAATGAGCTTTTCTTAATGATTCCAGAATTGCTGGCCACCACAGCGTATCAAAAGCATTTTGAAGATCAATACTAATGAAAGCGCTGTGGTGACCACTGATTCTATTAGATTGCAAATCATTAACAATCTTTGACAATACCTGAACAGTGGATCTACCAGGTCGAAAACCAAACTGATTATCAGACAAAAGTTTTGCACATGCAAATGATGTTTTAAGCGTAAAACAATTATTCTCTCATATACCTTACCCAATGCAGAGAGTAAGCATATGGGTCTGTATGATGCAGGATTATGTGGGTCTCGACCCCGTTTTAGGAATAAGACCACTCTGCCAATTTTAAAAGCCCTAGGAAAAAGTCCTAAATGGAAAGTTTGTTGAAGAAGTCCTTGAAGAAATAAGGATGAGAATTAATAGTTGCTCGGATGATAACATAATCAATTCCATCTGGCCCTGGCGCCCGTTTTTTTAGGAAGATTTCGTATTGTAGTTTTAATTTCGTCTAAAGTTATATCTTGATCGTCTGCAGTATCAGGAACTGTTAAGTTATTTCTAATTTCTGTCTGGAACTGAGAATCTGTGGAAGGATCATCAGATGGAAACACGGTGGTTAAAATTGATTCTATTGTGTCTTGTGTTGGGTGCTCAGTCGAAGTAGAAGATGCTATTAGATGAGTTTGCGAAGGTTGAAAAATTTTTGTCCTTGCAATTTTGTAAGGAAGTCCATATGGATCATGATTTTGAGTGCAATATTGCTTCCATGCTGTTAATTTAGATTGAATAATCATGCGTTATAAATTGCTTTTTCTGTTTGATAATGTTGCAAAGTATTTGAGGTGATACCATTTCGACGGTCAGATTTTAATTTTCTTCTAAGCGCTCGACATTTCTGTTGTTGAGTTCTTAATTAATTCACCGTTCCACCAATGGAGAGCTGAAAGTTTTTTTTATTTGTTTTCCTTGGAAGAAGATCTTGACAAATATCTTGGATTGTAGTTAAAACCAAGTCCGTAAATTGTTCCAAGGCAGCTGGAGTTGTTTGCAAAGATAGTTGTCTTCTCAGTTGGTTCAATTTTCCTCTAATTTTTTCTCGTAAATTGACGATATTTACGACCTGGGAGATTATATCTAATGAGAATAGGAACTGAGCCATTGTTGGTTATTTCAAACGTAATGAATTTATGGTCCGATAAACTTATTTCATCATGAATAGTCCAGTTATGAACCAAATGTGCAGTATTGCTTTAGTAAAAGTTAAGTCAGGCCATCCAATAGCATATGTTCTATCAAAGGTAGGCGCAGAGTCTGGTGAGTTAAAAAGCACATAATTTTTTTGAAGATATAAAATCCTCCAATAGGCGACCTTTAGGATCAGTTGTTGTATAACCCCATGCTATTGAATGGGCATTAAATTCCCCACTGATGATTTGGTGTTTATTACCAATAATGCGAAGATTCTCTTCTAAAAAGGCAATAACTGGGGTAATGTCATCCGTAGGAGGAGAATAAATTGAATAAATAACAACTATTAAATTTCGAATTTCTAAAACTACAGCAACTTGATCTCTATTAATTGATAAAATTGAGGGAGAAATTTGTGTATTACAGTTAATAATGGCTAAGTGTCTGCCTTGAAGGTGCTAAAGTGGAGGTGCTAAAGTGTCTGCCTTGAAGAAGGTTGTCCAGAGAAGAGGAAAACCAGCAACTTGACCGTCTCTAGTATACGGCTCCTGGGCCAATATGAGATCAATGTGATTTCTTAATGCAAATTCTATTGTCTGTGCTATAGCTGCCCGAGATCTCTGCATGTTTATTTGTAAGCATCTAAATGATTGCAAAGCACTCTGTGATACATGAATCGCACCTTTAGACATATGTGGTATTCTGGCGCATTCGTTAGACTTGTTTCTGATAGCAAAAGCATGCGTTGGAGTTGGCGGTATGATCAACTGGGACTGGGTTTCTGGAATTCTTGTTTGCGTCGAGACAATTGATGCAGGCTGCAAAATCCGAGGAACAGTCTCGGGAGTCATGTTTACAGGAGATATATAACTGTCCAATGTTTCTTCCCCGCAGTGTACATGTATTCTAATATGTGTCAAAGTATAGATCATTCATACACTAGCGCACATACAGGCGCTTGGAAAGTATTCGACAAAAATGTAAAGGTAGGTAAATAAGACGGAAACAAGCAAACTTTTATAATGGAATATGCCTGTCAAAAGGGCGCATTGAGGTGGTACAGGTCACTTTGGAGCAGAAGATAACAGAGATCAGCTGGCGTAAGTTGGCATTCTCCGTGTGCATTTGGAGCGATATGCGAGAAAATGAACCTCGCCGATATGCGTTTTATATATGGGTTGTGGGAAAAACGAAGTAGTTATTGAAAGTGATGCAATGAAATATCCCTATGTACTTCCTTAGCGCAGTCTCTCCGTTTGCATCTGTAGCCGCATAGTTAAAACATGTAACGGTAAGCTCTTTTTTTTTTCTTTTCCCAATGGCGGGCACCTACCTATGCTAGCATCAGCCACTCCTAAGGCTAGATGTGGTGGTCTCTTTATTATGGAGGCACCTAATAGGTGGGTTACCTTCGCCTCCTAAGAAGGAACAGACAATTTTTTACATCCATGCCTTTTCCGGGATTCGAACCCGGGCCCTTCGGTATCGCCGTCAGGCTCCCCAAACCACTATACGGTCTGGGTGGCACACTAAGCTCTGCCTTCGAATAACGATGCTTTTCACTCGAAATCCGCATGCTAATTCACCCCATCAGAACTATTTTTAGCATCTTGCATTACTTTACTTGGGCACACAACATGCACAGCAAAATTTGTTTATTTCAGCCGTTTCTATTTGCCTGTACATTTTGGTGAATTATTTTGCCGGCGCACTTTACACATTATAACCTTAAAAGATAATTAGTAGTATTTGTTACTTTGACATCTCTATTGGCCTCTCTTATAATGTAGCTCGTTTACGAATAGAATTTCCTATGCATTTAACCTTTTGCTTTGACCTACAGAACAACTGCTGTCAAGCATTCCAAAATTGAACAAATAATATTTGTGATATTTTGCTTTGAAGGGAAAGGGAGATAATACATTTCAGGAGACATTCGAAGTGCTATGTAAAGCGTACGGGATCAGGCATTAACAAGACCGTTGATAAGGACGATTTACTATTGAACAGAAAAATTGTTGTAGGAATCCAGGTTTGTTTGCTTTACGGCAGTTACAAACAGGTGAGAGCAGATTAAACAGTTGACAGTAGGTGCTTTTTGTCAAAACAATTCAACATCATTTTTTTTTAATTTGGACACATACAAACTTCTTGTGCACCAGAGATATCCAACACGTACAAAAGTAAGTTAAATAAAACATTAAATTTTACATGAAATAATAAAACGAACAGAAACAGAGAATAGCAGTCTGGACTTCACGAAAACAGATATGTTCACTAACCAAATCCAGCCGAACATTTTCCACTCCTTCTGCAATCAAAATCTAAGGCTATCATAGGTAGAGCATGAAAAAAATCAAATATTACATATCTTGAGGTATTTTGTTTAACATTTACATGAATTGAAATAGGTAACTTGTAAATTTGAAAATTTACCGTCACCAGATAAAAACTGGAAAATTTTTAAATTAATAAGGAGGAAAGACTTGGAATGCAGTCTTAAATAAATAGAAGGAAAGACATTTTTGATGTCCTCAGCATTACAAGATAAAATATAATCCTCATTCCACGTAGCTAAAAAGCTTCTTATAATGAAAGATATTCCAGTAGCTCTTTGGAATGCTAATATTGACATCAATGGGTAAATTTATGGCATCTTTAGCTAAGAAATCAACCCTTTCATTTCTGTAGAATCTGTGGTGAGTACTGCGTTGTGAAAACTGATATTAGTTCCCTTACATCTAAGCGAACTGACAGTTAATACGGTTTGATTAATAATGTTTCGCTCCTGGTAATGCTATTCAAAAGATGAAGAGAAGAAAGAGAATCAGAACAAATAAGGTACCTTGAGGATGTTGTCCCATTATCCTTGATCCATTTGACGGCAAGATAAATACACACAAATTCTGCTTGAAAAACTGTGCCTTAATTTCGTATACGGTGTTTAAAGTAACAAACCTCAGAATGGCCTTCCGAAAAAACAAATTCAAGGCGAACTTTGTTGTTCAAAATCATCGCCTTCGTCTTAGTAGCTCATGGGTGTAACATTAGGAAAAACACAAAAAATCTTCATGTGAGATCTTGAAAAAAGAAAATACGTTTCCGTTTTATCATTTCTGTTTTGACTGAGAACTGCATGAAGATCTAATTTCTGCATATCCTTTTTTGATTCAAATAGCAGTTTTGAAACAAACTGTGACAGGAAATAAAACTTAATTCTTTGCTTATGATATTGAGAATAATTTATTTCTTGAGATAGGAGCAGTTCGCTAAAGGCACAGAGTACTTCTTTTTCAGATAGTTCAGGTAAAGATTATGATGCGAAACATTTTGATAGGAAAGAGGTAAATCACAAGAAATTTAACTCGTTTGCGCTGAAAATGAATATGCTGGCACACTATTCTATTCTCATTAATCTTTCCCAGCAAGGACAAATTGCATAATTCGCAACTCCACTCCATATTCGCAGCATCTGACACCTAAAAAATACTTTACCTTTTATACAGAAAGTATCACGTCAAAAGTCGTTTCTTTAATAGCATTGAAGGGATTTAGATAACCGTAGACGTATTGGTGCTCCAAGTGATAAGTTCTACTAAGAAATGAAACAACTATATGAAAGTGCCAAGGATAACTTACAAATTTTCAGATATTATATACTGAAGGTTAAGAAATAATACTATACGTATATATTTTTTTCAGTTTTATATTTTGTACGAACTTAAGCCTGAAACACTGAAAACGCACTGTGTTTATGCTAGTCTACATAGATACGTTGACTGGCACATAAGTACCTGGATTAAATGGATTTAACACAATTTTACAGAGAAAAAACACAATAAAATGAATAAAAAGTGAACAAAACAGTATAAATCGAAGTCAAATGAAAATTTATTGATGTTACATAACTGTACGAAATCGTAATAAAGATCACTGAATATTACCTTTTTGCGTTCTATTGGTTCGTGGATTTGGAGTAATTGATGATAGCACTTGATGAAGAATCAAAACACAATTCACACGCCAATATTACCCAGAACAGTTCCAAACAGACGATACAGTCGTCAAAAAATTACGATACACACCCTGAAACAATCAGCAACACAGCCTTAAAACTATAATGGTGACGACAGTTTCACGACAAAGCACTAAAATACAGCTCTCAAGCTCATCTCTGAACTCAAGACACTACTACATTACTTTGTGAGTATACAGGCTGGGTATATATAGCTTTAACCTAACCTCGAGAACATTCCCGAGAAAACCGCTAAGAATGCGTTCTAGAATGTTCTCAGTCCGTCAGCGACATATCAGTTTTGTCGCTAAATATAGCCAAACGAGCAATTTCACGCCAAATACGACAACCCTGCCTTTCCCTGCTATTTTCTGGCAAGCCTAACCGGGCTTTGCGAGGAAGCTATCTCACTGCAGCTGGTCTTCCTCAACAATAATATTTATGAGTCTTTTGGCTAAAGTAATTCATGCATCTTTGCTTTCCTGTGAACTGAACGTAAAATTTTGAATAATGAATTAAATTAGACAATTACTTTTTCATTGATTCTTAAAAGTCATTGATGTAAAATAAGATAACGTAATTTTTTTGGTTATGAAATCGGAACATTTGAAATTCTGTTTCTTCAAATGCGTGAGTCAAGCATCATATTTGATACATTCATACATGAACTGTATTCAAACATGAAATTATTTCACTGCCATTTTGTTCGAAAACATTGTTGATTTCTCTATAATTCTCTAGCAATTATTAATTTTTTAAATGCGGCAGTGGTTCACTTGCTTTTAGTAATCTGAAATAAGTGTACAAATTAATCAGTTGAAAAGGAAAACGTCATACTCCATATACTAACCGACTTTTTTTTGGCAAGCAAATTCAGTTTTCTTTCGACAAATTTATTACGAAGAATAATACACTAAACAGCCAGTTATGTCGGTTTCTTTATGAAAAAAATGTTA